CTGGTATTCCAGAATGTACTTCACCAAACTGACCAGATGCTCGTACAGACTACTCTGCTTGCCATCCGTCTCTATGCTATCATGATGAGCTCGACCACCAGAATGCATTGACTGCAACAGGGCCTTTGCCTTGACGAACTCCTCCAGGGGTGGAACCTCTGGACCCAGATTACAGAAGCCGCCGGTGAGTTCATTTGGAGTTCTATAATTTGGTTGGGTTTAAGGTGTTAGTTAGGTGTCAGAGCGGTTCCTACTGCCTTATCCAGAGCATTTATCTGAAACTTTTCGCATCTGCATGTTTACTTAAGTATAAATTTGAATAAAACTTTCACATTTTATGGGGGGCGGGGGGGTGCTCACCGATCGTGTTACAGGACACACAGGACTCAATCTTGAGCCCCGCTAGTAGTCGCTCAGCGTCCACATTTACAAGCAGATGACGACTGGAATGTCATTTCTGGTGAGTCTAGAGCATTTCGCACCTAATTCGGACCCGCGACCTCTGGTCATTGAGTGCAATGTTTTGGCAGCTAGGGCTCCAGACTGAACTCCAAGGCAAAACGGGATGAGCATGTTCCATAACCAGTGGTCAACGCCCTACTGTTTATCATGTTTCCGATCACAACCGACAGAAATAACAGGCCCGTGGCGTAACGGTAGACTGTTGCGCTCAATCACAAAAGGTCGAGGGTTCGAACCCCGCGGATCGGCACCTCGTAGGATTGGGTATGACTGGCTGATAACGACTAGTTATCCAAAAATAGCCATTGTGGTGAGGGGTATAGACTGAGCCCCAGAGCAAAACGGAACGGGCATGTTCTCTGACCAGATCGGTGAGCGCCCTACTATGAAACTTATATTGTCCAATTGGAATGGTGGGGGAGTGGCTACAGCAACAAAAATAATTGACGTCCGAACGTAGATGCTGGAATTCATTGTGGCGTTACCTTCGCAAACAGACGAATTGCTTCAGGTTGCTTTTCAATTCTGACATTTGTTCGACGGATCCGCGAAAGCTAAAAGCTGTCAGCGAGTGTTGATGTCAATAGTAACTAGTTTTTATAAAACTGTTCATGTCAACATCATGTCAGCTTGACTGCCGAAAGTATGCCCGAAAATAGACCATCACCGTTCATACTTTGCTCTCCTCCGTCAGTTTTCTTCCTTTTTTCAAGGATTTCCTTCATAGCCACTGCCTGTCAGTATGTTATTTTATACCAGGGGTTTTCACATCTTGGCAGGAACATTTTACGTTGTCGCAAAAAACTATACCTTTAACTCCAAGTGCTAGGTTTCGAGCTGAATTTCTCGTAACAGCAAATGCCGAAAGTTGAATTATTTTCAGTGTTCATTTTCATGGACAGTCCTGACAGCTTGAGCATGCATCGGAAGATGCAGTTCTTCACTAGCAAGGAGTCCTCGCTATCGGCCATTTGGTACAAAACTTTAGAACGATAGCTCTCTTGCACGGTCTCCCATCTTTAAGCAGGAATGCTTCTGCCCGAATTAAAACTGATGTTGCAATCTATTATACTGCCTTAAAGGTCCAGATACTTGTTTCGCTGGTATTTTGCCACTGCTTGACAAAGCTGCGAGGGGTCCGGCTCATCAGTGGGTCCTCCGGTTATCCCTGTTTGCTTTTTAGTTGTTACAGCGTTTTTGACAGTTCAGCTTTTTAATTTCCTTGGAAATACACTTCTGCTTGCGGTGTTCATCAGTATATTTAATGCCTTTAAGCAACCGGAATTGTAAGTTTATAGTTGGGCTGAGACCCGTCAACCACTGCGTAATATACATCTGCTGCCAATGGGAAAAATTTAGTAGTATATATTGGTGTTGCAAGTTGCCATATTAACAGCCAAGGTACTAGCTGAAAGGTTCAAACACGTGTTTCGCCGGTATCCTGTCGCCGATTGACACAGGTGCGAGGGGTTCTGTTCATCAGTGGGTCTCCCAGCTTTTCCTGTTTGCTTTCTGGTTGACCTACCGGTTTTGAAAGTTCAAATTTTTAATTTCCTTAGGAATTTTTTTATGTTCTTGATATAGATGAGTATATTTAAAGGTCTGTAGACATAGACCGAAAGTTGGTGTATATATTTGGACCTAACTCCATCAGCCACTGCGGGATAACCGCGCGATATACAACTAAGCTTTTAGTTTGTGAATTTGCTGTCAGTAATGCAAAGTACAATATCAATTTATAACACTGTCTGCCCGTTGGCAGCAGGTGTATATTACGCATCGCCTGAGAGGTTTCTGTCCAAATATATGCATCAAATTCCGGTCTTTGCCTATACTAATCTGTATTGAAAACAGAAATTAATTTCTAAGGAAATTTAAAAGCTGATAATTAAAAATATACACTTATAATCTATTAATCTATAAAGTGCATATACCTATGAACTATATACCTTCCTTGACGCCGCCTCAAGGTCCAGTACCACAAAGTTCGGATGTAAAATGGACGAGACGGTGTTCACCGGAACGAGCTTTTTCCTTCGCTGACGTTTCAGAGAGCTGGGCCGTCTCTCCTTGGTCAAACGGGAAAATATTGATGGTCCCTTGCGTACATGAGTCAGTATTTTAACTGGAATGCGTTCTATCCAAATTCTTTTGACCCAAACACAAAAGGAGATAGTATTCAAACGCCTGTTTACACGAGAAGCTTTATTTCATGAATGCTCGCCGACCGCTTACGGATCGCATTCGTTCCGATCTGCCTTGGAGCGCACTCTCCATTGGTGCGTGTTCAGCAAATACTGTCAATATTCCCGAGCAAAACCATGAAAACAACGATCACATGGCATAATTGTTAGCACGCTAGACTTCGGGTCAACAGGTTGCGGGCCCGAGCCCTGGATGGCGTACCACCTGGGACTGGGTATGATTGGCTGACGACGGCTAATAAGCCAGAAGTGCCCATTCCAGTCCATTTGCCTTTGTTGGCAACGTTCACTAGATGCTTTAAATAGAAGCATAAGAGGACCACCATCACAACCTTATGTTCCAAATGCAAGCGAAAATGCGAGTCCTAGGCAGGAATTGAGAAAAAGTAGAAGTGGATGAATAACCTTCTTGCCCAGCGATCGCATCTGGTTCCCCTCAATTACATTTTATTCAGAAATGTGCCAATAAACTTTAGCTAATGTTATACAAAACGAAAAAATAGCATACTTTTAGCGATTGAGGTCATTTGAGCACTAAGCCATTAATAAATGACGGCTTTCCCAAGCTGGTCTTTCGTGCAAAAAATCGCGCCAGACAGGTTCTTATCTTATTAAACTATCAATTTCTCATCGGAGCCAAAAGTTTCGCATATCACTGAAAAAATGATCCTTTGGTGAGTTCTCCTTTATTTATTTTACATGATAATTTGTATACCTATGTGTCTGACGTTTTTCGAACAGCAAAGATTAATATCTTATGAGAGGATAAGTAAAATACGACAAGCATTGCGGGTGAAACGCCAAAAGATGGATTTTAAGAATACCAAATATAATGCGATTGAGTAAAGACGCATTTGCCATTGGAACTTCCTTATCCCATGGATGATTTACACGTGAAATATAACAGACGCGGCCTAAACGTGATGGCTTTGCATTAGATTACCGCCGTTTTTTGGCAGTTTGGAAGGAATGCAATTTCAATGCACAACAACATTCTGGTCGGTAACTAAAACACTGAATGCTGCATCGGCTAAGTTTTCAGACTCAAATGTTTGCGCAGAATTACTTAATTCGTTTTCAACCAAGTGAGCTCTTAATTGTTTAGCTTGTTGTTGCTTTTGTGTGTTTCGGTCTACTTAAATCATCTTTGAGTACCTGGTGTGCTCTATGATGTAGGTATGCAAATTTAGCAAACTTGGATAAAAATGTTCATTAAAATAAAAGAACGTTGTCAGCTTAGTTTGCTGACATGATTTAGTGCCTTCCAAACTCTTTAGAAATAGGGAACTATCAGGAAAAAATGGGACACGCTTACATTTTTTCGTCCTGGGCCATCCCGGCTCTCGAACGCAATGGCACACGTCATCGATCGATAAACGTTTGGCGCTTGCGTCACGTGACGGCATGTTCATTCGAATCAAAAAAGCCGCCTAATTTAAGAAGCCGACGTTTTACCCTCCAGTATATACGTATGATTAATAATGACTTGATTCTAGGAATCTCTAGGCGCACATAAATGTGGAACCTAAACGGGCCTATGCGTATGGGATAGTTTTGAAAATTGCAGAAAGACCAAAATGCGATAACTTACTTCAGAATCGGAAAAAAAACACTGGTCAAATGAAGAATTTAACAGATGTCAAAAGAAAGCGTGCATGAACGATCACACAAACTTCACTGAAGCTTAAATGCTCACTAGTGTCTTACTTTTAAAAAATAACGAAAAGCAGGCTCGTTTTAAACTTTTCTTTCTGTTTCTGAGTCATGAGGACGCTAGAAATGACCAGCCTTAACCATACCAGTTAATACGAGCCGAAACAGTAACACTTTTAATAATCCTGACTTTAAGCATGACTTTGACCTAAACCCTAAATTATGACCTTAATCCAAACTTAACGGCAACCCTCACCTTATTCCTAAACAAAAATTTTCCGGAAGTTAGCGTGAAGTAACACGAACTATGGACGGTCCATGTTTCCGTTTTTCGTCTAGGCGGCGATAAAAGTCATCCGTGAGGATTCAAATGTCAGCAGAATCACTGCGTTGTATCCAGACTATCAACGGATATAAATGCTGAAAGAGTTACGCACGAAATCATTCCTAGCCCAGCGAGTAACCAGTATTCAAATTTCTCTATCAGGCAAAGCGAGCCTACAAAAAGATAGCCCCTAGTCGATCAGGTGGCCTTTATGCTTTTAAACTTGTGAACAATATCTGATTTATCTAACCGGTTGTAATTTTTTGTAAAAATCTATTTTAGGCATCACCACAGAAGACAAAAATACAAGAATTCCCTAATACTATACGGGCGTTTATAAGTGTTAAACAAGTGGGGCACAGCAATGGCGCGGGAGAGAAAATAAAAGTAGGATATCAAAAGGCTGGAAATAGTAGAGGAAATTATTACAGTAAGCTAAAATATACAACGAAGAAGCGGGCGGTAATGGAAAACTAAACAAAAGCCAATTTGAAACGTTGTTGCCCCGGAAGATATTTGAACACAAAGCAAAAAAAAGCAAATCTGACTCAAATCGAATCCGAGGGTTCTAAAAATCGAAGTGGACCCAAAAGCATGCTTTCCATTTTCAGCAAGACAGTGGGTACTTTATTTATAGTATGCAACCACCTTCAAAAGCCATAGTAATAAAGTAACGTTTGGAAGACTGTTAATACCATAATGATGAATCCGAAACGGATCTCGAAAGGTCAGGCGAATAAAAGTATTGTTTCAGCGATCGAGGCGTCGTCTTCTCAGTGTTTATAATATACCATGAATATAAAAGGCAATAAACCCTCACTGTGTTTCTCTATATTCCTGTACATTTTTGTCTTTACTTTACTAAAGCTTTCCGTAGGGTGTGCAATGTTCTATGTGGATAGACTACGTCGAAAGTGTATGGTAACACTGTCAACATCAAAGTAGTAAAACAAAACATGTTTACTACTGAGAAATAAGTAGGCAGTTATGCAAAGTAAACAAGGGCGCGGTAATCCGTATAACAGATTTCCACCTAATGTTTTGAAAGCCATAATTTTGCCAAAAGAGGCGAATAGGCTATTTTCAGGAAGCCATTCCAAAGAATATAGGATTGCAGGAACAACAGTTAAACTGAGACTGTCACAGTTGATTATTTCCATTGAAAATCCGAAATGCCAGGCTAATAAACTCCTTATCACTCTAGTCGCATCCTGCTCTTCTGAGATGCGATTGTCTACCGAATATGTTGGCCACAGGTTACAGCTTTTAAAACACTGTCTACCAGAATAACTCCTATGACGTTGTAATGTTAATCAGAACAAGGGATGTCCAAAAATTTAGCGTTTGTTCTCAAAGGTCTATGCAAAGTTTAATTAGCAGGGGAAGGTAATTTGCGGTGGATGTGGTTTGCACCATTAGACCGTTATGAATTACACTCGAATTTTCGGCATTTCGATTATATATGGCATAGTTTTTTAACTAACTCTGTCCGTACCCTAACCAATCAATTAAACGATGAGAAACTGATCCAATGTAAGCACAATAATGTTTGTGTGATTACTGTCCACAATGATAGCACAGATACCAACTATAAATTTCAATACTGTCAGAAATCCTATAAGTTATACTGTTGTCTGCCCGAGGGCAGCTCGCGAATCTAACGCGCTTACCCTGTCGTAGCTGATGGACTTCGGCCAATATCTTTACCTCAGACTTCGGTCTGTGTCTATAGACACTGAATACAATACTCTACTCCAAGTTCACCAAGGACTGTCTAAGAGTAGACGCA